CCTAAACCCTAAACCCTAACAAGGAACCCACAGGCTTCTACGTCCGTTGAAATGGCAATGGTGATACGTCAGCGGAGCGACGAGCCGAAAAATCCAGATTCAAAAAGGCGCAGGGTAGATTTGGGGTTTAGGGTTTTAAGGTTTAGGGCTTAGGGCTTGAAGGTTTAGGGTTTTGGGGGCCTTAGGGATTTAAGTTTAGGGTTTTAAGGTTTAGTTAAAGGGTTTAAGATTTAGGGTTTAAGGGTTTTAAGGTTTGGGGGTTTAAATGGTTTAAGGTTTAGGGTTTTGGGGATTTAGGGTTTAGGGATTTGGGATTTAGGGTTTAGGGTTTGGGATTTGGGTTTTAGGGTTTAGGGTTCAGGGTTTAGGGTTTATGGATTTAGGATTTAGGGTTTAGGGTTCAGGGACTTGGGGTTTAGGATTTAGGGTTTTGGGTTTAGGGCTTAGGGTTTTGAGATTTGGGGCTTCGGGGTGATGCGGCGCTTGCTACAGTACAGAGCTGCACAAGACTACTGCAAGTTGAGGCAGTTGCTACAGTGCACTTCCGGATACAACAAAGTACTGCTTCCCTCTGAACCCCGAACCTGTAAACCCCAATTTTAGCCATCTTTGGTTTCAACTGGCTGCCTGCATACCGACTGCTGCCGAGGAGCCATAAATCACAGGCTTCTGGGACGAAGCGCTCGTCACACAGAACCTGCCCCGAGATGAATACGCGACGAAATGCTTGTATGACATGCTGAATAAAGCTAAACACAGCACAAAGAACAGCGGAGAGAACAGCAGCACGTGCTGCACTTACTATCCGGAATAGTAAAACTGTACTTCATACACCAACATGCCACATTGCTGAAGTGAAGTGCCTTGGCGCATCACTTTGACCTACGTTAGGCAGGAAGCTACGGCTGTTTCTACACTGCTACTTACAATGGAACCGTACATCAATGCCACTATAGCAGAGAGGAGGGCACCACTTGCCTGTCGATCGTTCTGTCACATAATGTACCTAAGGCAGAACTGAATCACCGCTTATTGCTGTAAACATCGCATTCAACTGCAGTGTACACTGGTATTTATTCCAAAATGCTGCCTCATCTGTATGGCTGTAAACGGTCTTGCATAAATTCATACAACATCACACAACAGTGTTTTAAACCATATTCACGGTGATTAACGGTCTCTTCTGGAGTGTTCTGGACTATATTTCACATGTGTAATGTAAATTGCGCCGAACTATCATAAACTGAGAAGTTGATCAAATAGTGCTTGCCGCTCTTTGCTGATCATACGAGCATGCCTCCGTCAGATGATCCAGTGTTAGACTCTGCATCGTTCAGGAAGGTCTGCCTCCCCGATAATGCGTCGCACCAAAGCATCCACCTCCTGACAGCACAAGACACGCTGGCGCAAACTTCCCCGTAACGGCTAGAGTTTCAGAGCCCTCTCAATGAAGAATACCTTCCTGTAGAACATGTGGGCAGGTGGCTAAACTTGGGTGGTTCTTGGGTGCCTTTGCACCTATAAACCTGGCTATTCTTGCCATAAGCTCTGGGTCTGTGTGTAATCGGTGTGTGAAGCAGGACTCATTGAAAGTGCGAAGAACAGGCGGCTCTAGCGTTAATGGGTTGAGAATCACGGACCAAGTCTTTATAGACATGCCTTTAGGTTTACCACCTTTGCGACGCAGGGCGGACGCAATCGGCACCACCGAAAGACCATACCATCACCCACTGTTCCCATAACCCCCTAAACCCTAAACCTAACACCTGAACCCTAAACCCTAAACATTGGACATGTCAAGGGCCGTTGGCATCAGATCCGGCCAGGGAGAATCAATCCCACGCTCCCGTGATCAGCTCGGGCTCTGATGCCGGCGGTTTAGGGTTTAGGGTTTAGGGTTTAGGGTTCAGGGTTCAGGGTTCAGGGTTTAGGGTTTAGGGTTCGATTTAGGATTTAGGGTTCAGGGTTAAGGGTTTAGGGTCTAGGGTCCAGGGTTTAGGGATTCCTCCAAAGGCCGAACGGTCTTGTCATGCTCCGTTTTCGATGTAGTGCATCTGCGCCAGGTCCAAACTGTCCCGAACCTCTGCTGTTGCATTTCCGACTTGCAAAGGGTCAGGCTAGGCTTTTAAGGCTGCGCTCCCATCGGAGCACTAGAGCGGCCGGATATATTCTGTCAACACCACGTCTGTCAGTCTGTTCGTTTTCGCGGTACAGAATGGGAGTTTTGAAGGGTTGGAGGGACCCCGCAAAAGCAACGGCAACCCCGGAGCTATGCATTGTTGAAACACCTACAAATCTAGCACCAAGCAAACTTCGCGTGCCGAAGCCCTAAAACATAACGGAGTCGGGCT